AACAAAAAATTGGGGAAAATTAAAACCCATTTTGTCCCTATTCTCAAGAATCACTGAGATTCCTGTGTACAAACAGGAAGTCTAATTTTTACGTTAACCAGGTTAGTCTTGATTTAAACAAGCTTAATTACTCGAAGTGGGTAGTTTTTCAAGAAATTTAACTAAAGTAAGAGTAGCAATACTCATAATAATTAAAAGTGAAAAGTCCGGTGAAGTACATTTTTACGCCCTCGCCCCCCCCCAAATAAAACCGTTAATAAAGTAAATATAACAGTAAAAGTAGCTAGCTCCTACTCACCTCTGCATCACGCATTCTCAATTGGAAAAATTTTGGTTTCTTTCCTCAAAACCCCAAATGGCTGCAATTAACTAGAAGCATAACTTAAGTCCTAATTATTTATCTCTGAACATGGCAACATAAAATATTTTTTATGGAACATGGTGCTCCGTTGTTTGAAGTTGCAACAAAACATAACGGCTAAAATAATATGCTGTTCTTTGGTTCTACCTCTGTGTGGCGCTGTGACGTTGGAGTCTTCTGTGGGGGAAGTTTCCTATGTGGAACTGTTTGTTGGCAGTTATTTATCTGACTCGGAATCTTTTCAGTGTAACACGTCGTCTAGCAGTTATGTCGCCCGGCGCAGGAGTCAGATCGTTCTCTGTTAGAGTAGTTTAAATTAATCTTAAAATTGTTCAGTCTGCAGTGCTGTTAGCCTGAAATATATCTTTCCGACATTATGTTTGCCGTTAGAAGAACGTAAACGTTGCAGTATTGATTTATTTTAAGGTAAAGTAAGTTTGCTGCCGACTTCAGCCTGAAGCATTTTCTTCCTCTCTGTTAGCTAACGTCAGTCTGGTTAGCTGCTCTAAGGAGATGAAACTGTACATTTTGCAGAGGATATATTAACTGTAAGGGGAAGAATGTATATATTTAGGCTTTTATAATTTGTTTGACAGAAATGTTTTTGCTTATATCTTAAGCACACAGTTAAGTGCTGTAGTGAAATCTCCAGGCTTCCGATATGCTTATAGTCTCTTTGCGGGTCTTTGTTAATAAATTGTTTTCTTAGCTTTTTTTTTCACACTTTTGTTTATGTATCCCCTTAAACATTGGCTTTCCGTTCTACTAGTCACCTGTTTGGGCCATGGCATCTCTGTCAGAGGAGGTCCTGCTGGTGGTGAAAAAAGTCCGTCAGAGGAAGCAGGATGGCACACTCTACCTGATGGCTGAAAGAATAGCCTGGGGTCCAGAAGGCAAAGACCGCTTCACTGTCAGCCACCTGTATTCAGACATCCGCTGTGAGTCCCCGCTGAACTAAAAACAAAAACCCTGTGTGTTTGTGTTGATTTCAAAACGCACTTTACTGTTCCATGTGTCCAGGCCAGAAGATCAGTCCTGATGGTAAAGCCAAGATTCAGCTCCAACTGGTCCTACACACCGGAGACAGTACCACATTCCACTTTGCCAATGAGAGCACCGCACTTAAAGACCGAGATGCTGCCAAGGAGCTGCTGCAGCAGCTACTGCCAAAGTTCAAGAAGAAGGCCAACAAGGAACTGGAGGAGAAAAACAGGTCAGAATCCTTCTCTGGTTTCGGACCGATCACGTTCATCTAGCAGGATTCTTTTAATGTTTCATCCTCTAGCATTCAAGGAGAATAACTCAAACATTTATTAATAGGAGACCCTGTGCTAAAGCTTTTGCTAAATCATAATTAATTGCACTGTGTTGGAGAAACGTTATTGCATTGTTGTTTAAGATTGCAATGATGGTATTGGCTTTTAATCCCTCCAACATCGTGGTGTCACCATCATTTTCAGGGATTTTGAACATCTCAATTACTAAAATGTATGTCAGCTTTGGGCATCAAAGCTGACATACATTGTCCGAATTAATTGTCGAATTATGTGGAGAATCTGGATGTATATAAATTGGAATATTTTTTATTCACCAGATATTGTATTCAGATTCATTCAGTCCATTGCTGCTGCAAATATTGATGTTGCAGTTAAGATTTCAGTTTGATGTCTTCTGTTGCTCTAAAGCAAATGCTTTAAAAAAACTACTCTGTTCTTTGATAATGATTACACACTTAAGAACGCTTAATTCTTTATGAACGCATTGTATTTTATGAAAAACGGTTTGTTAAATCCTACCTCGCTCCAGTGTTTTTCCCTTTCTCTTTGTCCAAGAGAACGTTTTCTGTTGCTAAACACTGACAGGGTGACAGATGTAATACTTGGCAAAAAGTGTGAGTTGTCAACAGCACTAAACAAGATTACTAATTAGATATCTGGAGCTGTCCATTCTCTTTCCAAAATATCTGTCAGATAAATGTGGAGAAGATATTAATGTTCTGTTAGGCTCAGGCTAAATGTTTGTGTAATGTTGCAGATGCTGGATTTATTTTCATATTTCTTAGTCAGGTATTGCTGAACACCCATTAGACTTACAAAGGATAATACATTTATTAGCTAGACACTGTGTTGGCTAATTTGAAGTGAAATGTGAGCAAGATGTGAGAATATCTGGAGGAATCATTTTTATATTTGCAAATCAGAAATTGTGTGATATTTTAAGTGAATTTTGGTCAATGACAATCAGAAGCATTAAATAGCTTTTGAGCATATTGCAGAAGACAAAATAATCCATAAGATATTTATTTTCGTCCCAAGAATTTAACAACTATCACTAATTAGTGTTCACATGGGCAAAGTTTAAATCTGAATCATTTTTGTGTGATCAAAATAGAACAGAGTCTTGACTTTATGATATAATTGCAGTCCATTAATCTTACAGAATATTAATTTAAAAGTGAATTCAGGTCAGATTTGCTCTGCAGCTTTGTGTGGGAGCTCACTGCTTACCTTCAGCGTTTGCTGCTGCTCCGGCAGGATGCTTCAGGAAGATCCGGTGCTTTTCCAGCTGTACAAAGATCTTGTGGTGAGCCAAGTGATCAGTGCTGAGGAATTTTGGGCCAACCGGTTAGGAGGCGTGAATAATGGGGAACCTGCACCTTACAACAACAAACAGGAAGTTGGAATATCTGGAGCATTTCTGGTGAGTACATCTAATATGATCCACAACTACTTTATGCTTCCTTATCACAGTTTTGAGTCAAAAAAAAAAAAAAACTGCTGCACTTGAAAGGGCTTCATGTTTTTGCTCTACAGGCGGACATCAGACCACAGACTGATGGCTGCAATGGCTTGAGATATAATCTGACTGCGGACATTATCGAGTCCATATTTAGAACATACCCTGCAGGTAAACAAAAACGGTGTTTTGTAAAAGTATCCACACTGCTTGAATTTTTCTTATTTTGTCTTTTTACAATCATAAACTTCAATTTTAACTTATTGGGATTTGATGTGTTAGACCAAAGCAACGATGCAGGAGGAAAGGATTACCAAATATTCTTGACAAATAAAAACCTGAAAGGTGTAGCATTCATTTGTAATCGGCTCCTGTGATTCGGTGCTTTGCACAACCACCTTTCATTGCTGTTAAGGCTGCAAGTTCTTTTCTGGTAAATCTCAAGTAGGTTCAGACATGTAGAGACAGAATTTTGTTGTTTTTTTTGTAAAATAGCTCAGACCCAGATTGATTGAAGCGGCTGCAATTTTCAAGTCTTGGCCAGATCCTCAGTTGTATTTTGGACTGAATTTTGACCGGGTTATTCTAACAAATGAATACACTTATGTAAACAGATCTATAGCTCTGGCTTTATATTTAAGGTTAAAGTTGTTATCCTCCTGGAAGGTGAACCTCCACCCTAGTCTAAAGTGTTTTGCAGCCTGTTAGCAGGTTTTCTTCCATAGCATGACCACTGCATGTTGCTGCCACCATCATGTTTCATGGGAGGGACGGTGTGTTCAGGGTCAGGATTAATACTGAGGTTAGATTACATTACAGTTTGACTTTGTTTACAAATGACGTGACGTCTCAACTCTGTTAGTTACACTAGATTTTACTTATGGGTAAAAGTGCATTCAGCCTTGAATATAAATCCATCTCACACTTTTCAGACTTTAAAATGTACAAAAAAATTAACAAAAAAAAAAAACAAAACCTATCAATCTAAAAGTAGCTTCTTGTTTCTAAACCTGTCTTGCAGTGAAGCAGAAGTATAGTGAAAATGTGCCTCATAACCTGACGGAGAAGGAGTTCTGGACACGCTTTTTCCAGTCTCATTATTTCCACAGAGACCGCATCAACACAGGTTCACAGGATATTTTCTCAGAATGTGCCAAGCAGGATGAGAAAGGTAGCTGCTGACCATTCACACCGAAAGTGCAAGTGTATATGTTCCTGTGCAAAGTGAACCATATTTAATAATAATGTTATACTGTTTTCCTAACATGCAGGGTTAAAATCTCTGGTGACCCAAGGAGTGAAGAATCCGTTGGTTGACCTTTTGTCACTGGAGGATAAAACATTAGACGAGGTGAGAAAAGTCAGCTGCAGTAATGAGAAAAACTTCCTGTGTATTAACTAGTAACTTTATTTTTATGTCCACCTTAAAAACAACTTTTTATTGTGAAACAGGGTTATGGAATAAGCAAAGCCCTGCCTTCAACCTCAAATGCAAACAAGTCAGTGAAAGAGAGTAGCAACTCTGCCATTATAAAGCGATTCAACCATCACAGCGCGATGGTGCTGGCAGCAGGCTCACGCAAGGGGTAAACATCAACATTTCAAACAAATCAAATACGCTTGCTCTCCTGTCATCTCCTTTCTGCTAACTTTATTCTGGTTTTAAAGAGATCTTCCCACCGACCAAGCCAGTGAGACTAGCAGCACAGACGGCAACTCCAGAGATTCTGATTTCTTTCAACCTCCACTGAAGAAGGTATGACGCCTCTATAAACTTCTTACCTATTTTTTCTCCCACAGTGATTGTCACCATGAAATGATTCGTTTTTTTTGACTATTTTTTAGGTTAAACTACAAGAAGCCATAGAATATGAGGATCTGCAAAGGGAAAATACTCCTAAGACAGTGGCGTTAAATCTGAAGAAGTCTGACAGGTAAAGTCTGTTTGCTTTGTTTGTTTTAATCTGTTTTAAACAGGTTGGATTATAATCTGAAATTGAAAGATGCAAGGACATGGATGAAAGGAAGTTACGTCTACTACCTCATCAGCAAGGCAGCATGGGAAAAAACTAGACTTTTTTGCTTTTTTCCCCTCAGTAAATAAAAATATCGTAATTTCTAAAAATGTTACTTTTATATTTATTTATCTTTAAATTACTTCTTTTACCTTTGATGTTCAAGATCACAACTTGACTTAAAAAACACTAAACAGATAAATGCACAAAAAACAAATCATAAGGCCATCCCTCCTAGATCAGGGTTTTAAACCAGGTCTGGTTTAGATTCCAAATATGGCAGTAAAATTTTTATTATTTTGAATTTATACAAACAGAATTAAGCTGCCAGAGATTCCAAACTGAACTTTAAAGGATCGGTATTAAATGTACAATGAGCTTGTGCCAATAGTTTCAAAACAGACTTGAACTAAATTGTCTTCAAATGCTGCCCTTTATCACACTACTCAGCTGAAATTTGTGGAACATATCAAAAACAAAAACCTTACAAGACAAATGTTTTGTACTAAAATGGCAGAAATTTAAGTATAAAACTTAAAATTTAGATCTATACGTCTGTTTGAATTTTAAAACTGATGTGGTCTCTGTACGTTTTATAGTTTTCAAAATTTGGTGCAAAAAAATCTTCACTTTTACTAAGTTAAGATTTATCCAACTGACTTATATTTGTTTTATGTCTGTGATAAACAAGTGAGTTCACCAACCAGGGGGGATATTACTGCTAACAATTAATTAATATAGACTATCTGTATGTTTTACAAATGCTAATGAATATGTTTATCGGTGAGTCCTGGGAATTAATATTCATCGCCCTCGCTTCTTTCTCAGGTACGCTCATGGTCCTGTTCCGCTTCAGTCCCAGCAGTACACAACCAGCCAAGACATCATCAACTCTGTCAGCTACATCCAGCAGGAAATGACCAATTACAAACCCAACCTAACTCGGGTCAGATTATGTTTTATATTTCTGGATATTTGTCACACATTTTGTTGCTAAAGTGAAAATCACTCTCCCCACATCTTTACAAGGCATTTTAACACATTACCGAAATTGCACCAGGTGCTCGCACTAACAACTAACCTCACATATCATGTTGTTTATGTTTTAGCTGCACTTGAACCAAACTTTGCAGAAGACTGGTTTATGTATTTAACAGAAAAAAAAGGAATGTTACACTGTTCTAACAGGTTTACTCGTCTTCTTCTGACATCTGTTTTTGTACCAGGTACTGAGCAGAATATGTAAAAATGTAAATTTAATTTGTTTCATGAGGTCCCTCAGTTCATGGGAACCTCTGAGGCACAGAGTCACTTTATATGTGTAGAAAGACTCTTCTGGAAATAAATATCACAACATGAAAATGAAATCTCCACTTACCACAATTTTTATTTACAAAATCTCTCTAAGATGAATCCAATAATGATCTTAATCCAAAAAAGGACTAACAGCATAGAAATGTTCCCATTTCAAATGATTTAAAGATGACCTTTTATGTGATCAAAATATGGGATTTGAAAACCAAAGACAAAAATATAATTGAGCTTAGAACTGCCATTCGAGATCATTTGCAAATTGCCTGTATGTTTCGGATGTTTCAAAGCGTCTTTGAAATCACAGAACATGAAGTAACAGAATCTGCGTTGCTGTACAAATATTCAGGTGTTGTCCAGCACCACAGCGACCTCTGCCATAGCAGCGCTCTCTCCAGGAGGCGTTCTTATGCAACCTGTTGGACAGCAATCCATAAACCGTAAGTATGCAATAAAGATTTTATTTAAAATGTTATTTCATAAGGCCAGGAGATGAAGTCACTCTACTGCTTTATTTGTTTGTTTGTTTTTTCCAGAAATGGTACCCACCGACATCCAAGGAGAGCTGAAGCACCTTTACATTGCTGCAGGGGAGTTATTGAGACACTTTTGGTCCTGTTTTCCCGTAAACACACCATTTTTGGAGGAAAAGGTGACTGATATTGATTTGTTTAAATTCTATATGCTCATGATTTCTGCTGTCTAATTTTTGCACTTTCTATTTGTATATTTATGCCATACAGGTGACAAAAATGAAGACAAACCTGGAGAGATTTCAAATGACCAAACTTCGTCCTTTTCAGGAGAAAGTCCAACGACAGTACTTGAGTACAAATGTGAGTCACAGACATATTTTTTTGTGACACAGGGGCTTTTTTTACCCAGTAATAGTTAAATTCAAAATGTGTCTATACTGTGAAAGAAATCTTGGCTAACTGTGAGACAAGCCTGTACACATAAAGGTCAAATAAAACTAAAAAAACAAAAAATGCTTAAATTAAAACTCTCTGTTCCAACAGCTTACAGGGCACCTGGAGGACATGTTTCAGATGGCCTATAGCAAGTTTCATATTTGGCAAACCCGCAGGATGATGAGGAAAACCTGACCTGGGAATTTTGTTTGTCAAAGAGAAGACGAGAAAGACTTTTAATGTTTAGAAGAAAGACTTGGGAAGATCCTCTATGCCGTGAGAAGACCCAGTGGAACATAGTTCACAAGGGCTCACTGAGGATATAGAGGGATGCTGCTGCAGCCAAAAGTGTTTTAACAGAGTATAATTTCATCTCAGTCACAGATAACTACTAGTTTCATTGTTTTCTTTGTGTTTCCTTAATTGTTGAGAGTACTCTGCTTGTAACGGGTTAGCAGCAGGACTTTGAAAGCGGTGTAATATGACCAAACTTCAGCTGGAAGTCGGACAAAAGGCTCCCATGACAACACACTGAGACGAGATGCGGAGGATGGCTGTCGTGCACACGGCAGAGAAAACATACCTTGACACACAAAGAAACCCCATAAAATTGGGGTGAAGTGAAAGTATTAAAGAAAATCTGGAGCAAGAAGGCGCGTAAACAAAGCAATACTGTTAAGACAATTCACACTTGAGTGCATTAGTCTGTGTGACTCAGTGGAAATTGTCACTGGTTTATAATGTCTGCACTGAAGACAAAAAAAAAACAGAATTAAAGTGAGGTATTTGTTCATGGCAGTGTCTTCTCCAAATGGAGTGCTTCACTCTGTGTCTTCAGCTGCAGCTTGTAGTTTCTGTATTATAAATGTAAAGAGCAGTAATTTATCTGTCTGAGACAGGAGTTTGTCTACAGCCATGGTTCTGAACTCCGGTATAATGGTTGTGGTTGAGTTTTCTTCATTGCTTCTGAGAAGAAAAGTCGGTACCTGTCATTTGGAAGGTAATGAATTAACCATGTGGAGCTAACAGTGGTTTTTACACGAATGGCTTCCAGGACAAGTTTCTCCTCCTGCCAACCCACACTCAGCCAAACACATTACAACTAAAAAGTGCACTTCAAGAAGGAAAAAAACAACTTTAACTTATTAAAAATGGTAAAGACATTTCCTATTTGGATTTAAAGAAAAATAATATTGAATAATTTTAGTTTTTACCCTCAAAGCGCCCCCATGTGGTTTTCCTGGGCTGGGCAGAAAGCCATATTCCCCATATTACAAAGCACTAGGAAAACAATGGACTCATTTAGACAAAAAAAAAGAAAAGTTTTAGTACATTTGCTGTTGCTTCATTAGAAAAAAAGTCATAAAAACCTTAGAGAATTCCCAGGACAAAGTAAAACAACAGTGAACTACAAGCAGTTGTTGAAAGCCACGTGTGGGTCATTTAACCGGAAAAGCAGAAGTTTGATCTGGGAATAAAATCGAAGCAAACTTAACTGCTTGGAACTGTAGTTCCAAGTACTTGGAACTGTAAACAGAGAAAAAATGTCTGTTTACAGTTTTGCTAAGAGATAAGCCTGTTGATTTACTAAGAGATAAGCCTAATTACTATTGGCAAAAAATTTAACTGCATTGTTATGTACTGAAGAACAAAATAGTTGTGTGTCTGAATGATTTAACACACAAGTCTTCAGTGGTGAACATTTGTTTTACATTTTTTACTGCCGCTTTATGAAAGGCAGCCATGATGGATTTGGAGATCAATGTTGATGACACCCACCCTCTTCTCTTAGCACAGCAACATTTTCCCCCCAAATTGACTTAAAATAGCAAATCTGTGGCGGATAGTGCTGAAGATTAAGATGATGGCAAAGAAACTTTACAACCTCAAAGATGTGAAGCTCCTCGCTCCAAAGATAAATTATTAAAACATTAATGGAGATATGCCTCACGTGGTAAGGTTTGATTGTTGGATTGCAATACATATTTTTCAATTGGTTATTGAAAATGATTTTTAAAAAATGACATGCCGTTTTAAATGAAATATAAATAAAAACCTTTTGTACTTTATATTGTTTTATCTGTTGATGGATATCCGAAACAAACGTTCACATTTTATGTCAGGAATAATTTTGCTCTTTATTTATAGTGTGAAATAGGTCTCGTTTTGGGAATTATGTTTAATTTTCTCTGCAGAAAATAATGAGAACGTGTTTTCTCTCCAAGTTTTATGTTTTACCTCCTTTTACATAAACAAATGAGAGAGAGAAAAGACATTTATACCTTTATATTTGATAATAGATGCATGAAGACCACTGATCTAGAATAATGCACAACATTTTGGTTAATTCTTTTATTTTGCGACTTTAGGAAGTTATTTACTTTTTGATGCTGAGAATGTAGAGTGCTGGTTTCTGAACATGCTGAGCGCCTATAAGGAAACTGCAGCGCCGCTATCAGGAAGTGTCAACACATCAGCTGATTTCTGTGGACTGAGCTGTCACGGGTGTCCTGGCTGACCCCCCGGTCAGCAGTCAGTGGGGCTGACCACTGACTATCTCCGGGGATGTAATCAGAAGTGTTAACGCTGGACAGAGTCGCTCCGTCCATCCGGTGAGTTCAGGTGTAAAAACAACTGGCAGTTTGTTCTAACGGCTGTGTTTGTGCTAGCAGCATGCTTGCTAACCCGTTGCTATCACGGTTTAAAATGAGACTCCAGCGAGCTGACACTGAGCAGATGTCCTCGTCATCTTCCTAGAAACAAATTGACATTAAGTAGAAAATGTCTGAAAAATCAAAAGGCGCGTTTTTTTAGTAGTTTTTGGTAGCAGTGTTAGCAGCAGATGGGTCTCGTGATCCAAACTGCCTTGAATCAATGGCTCCATTCTCAGCTCACAGCAAACCTCAGCTGTTTTTCCACTGAAGACAGTGGACTAAACGTAGACTTCATTTAAACAACAGTCATTCTTCATTCTATAGGTAGTCCTACTTTAGACGTTTTGTATTTGCTCCGGTTTAGACCAAGCAAAGCTTGTTTGTCCTGTTTTTAAGGTTGCATAATACGTTTTATAGACAGAATCTGATGTTCATACTTGGTTAGATTAAGTCAGCTAAAACACCAAGGTGAAATTTTTTGCCAAAACTGTTGAAAGTGTGAGAATGTTATTGATTTGCAATGTGATTAAATGCACATTTGTTTTATCTTCAAGTAACATTTAGGACACCTTATCTCCAAACACAGAGCAGTGACATGGAAAACAAGATGTAAAAAAAACATGTTCCATCTTTTCATGAAATACTTTCCATTCTGGCTTGTTTAGGAGTTTATTTCAAGAATTGTAAGTATGTTTGAGGAATTTTGTGGACCTCCTTACAACAAAATCCAATCCTAACAGTAGAGTGCTAGGAAATACCAGGAGAGTGGAGGAGGTGACTTTAGTATCTTCTCTCTTGCTTTTTCAACCACTGTGAGTTTAGGAAACATTGCACTGACAAACATTAGTGTAATGTTTGTTTCAAAGCATTTCTCAATTTCTCCTTATCAACTGTGTCCCAACAGTACAGGTTACAGTAAATGTAGTCGGTCACAGGTTTAGTTTCACTTCTGCTTCCTCATGAATTCATGCAAAACCAAAAGGCGTCAATCCAGGACAAACTGTATCGGGGTGTGTAGCTTGTTTGCTGTCGCAATGGTGTTCGATCTTTGTTGGTTTCAGGTTCTCCTTTGTGGCTTTAATGAGTAAAAACATTTCTGGTTTTCAAAGAAAATCTCTACTAGGTTGTGGTTTCTAAACCAGCTCACTGTTTTACACAAGCTGCTTTTCCTTAGACTGCAGAGTTAAACAAAGTCACGGCTGGTCAATTTAGCAGGGCAGGTCCTCTGTTGAAAGTCATGCGACAACGTCACATGCCTCCATGGCAGCAACGACGCGCTGTTATTGTTGATGTCGTCACTCTCTTCTCTCTCAGACTTTGACTCCGTTGTTGCTGGATCTGCAGCGAGGATGCCTGTGATACCGGTTGTGCCTGAGAACCACAGTCACCTCCTGGCAGAGTTCGACTGCCTGGATCCGCTCCTCTCTGCTCTGCGTTTTGACTCAGGCAGGCTTAAGGTAGAATCAGCCATCAAATCACATCTAACGAATCGTTCCAGTTGAAGACTTTATAGTAATTATTTGCCATTCTACAATATTTTTGAGTAATGCAGTGATGCTTAATAAATTTAAGTGTTACTGAAAGGCTCATTTATGTCAGTAACTCAATTTATGTTATGGTTACTGAAACACAGATTAATTGCATACAAAATTAAAATGGTTAATTATGATGATTTTTCTGCTTATAGTTAGTTAAAAAAAACATAATTTTTTTTATTAGAATATTTACATGAGACTGATAAATGACTGTATATGTTTTTCAAATCTACCTCTACAGTTGAATAAATGTTCAGGCATCAGTGATTCAGTCCTATTAATGCAAATGCAAATCATTTATAATAGGAAATACATGCAATATATTGGTGACAATATGTGTTACGATACCTAAATTATTAAAAAGCCTATCTAACTAGTGAATATATTGAAAGTGTTTCTTCTGGTTGTAGTTGCTGCTAGCAATTGGAAGAAGTTCGAGTTGCTTAATAACTTGACCACTTGCTCGTGTCGGGGGCAAAAAAAAAAAAAAAAATGCTGTAATAAACACCTATTTTCACCAAATACGTTAATAGAGACCCTTACTGGTTTAGTTTAGATTATTCCAGTGCAGGGTATGAAATAATATATTTGCGATTATATTGTGCATCCGTACTGTGAGAATGTCTGGGGTTGACTCGTTTTATTGTGGCTTTGTTGCCTTTCAGTGTACCTGTCTGGCGGTGTCCAGGAAGTGGCTCGCATTGGGAACGTCAGCAGGAGGGTTGCACCTCATCCAGAAGGAGGGCTGGAAACAAAGGCTCATTCTGACTCACAAGGTAGATGTTTGAGGTTTTTGTCATGTCAGCTGCATATTAAGTGAACTGTTACAATGTTTGGACACAGATTATAGCTATCATCAAAATATGAAAATTGGACTCACCTTTTTTCATACTTTCTAACATTACAATCACAAACTGTATTTTATGTGATGGACCAGCGCATAGTACGGAATAATTCTGATGTGGAGAGAGAATTTATAAAATATATATATATATATAATCTGGTAAGTTAACCATTTACTATTCAGCCTCCTTCTCTCTGATGCAATCCAACACAGTTTTCTTTTGTGTTACTCAGTTTCACTAAAAATCCAATCCAGCAGTAGATTTGACGACACTAGTTGTTTAAGACACCATAATTATGTTTTATGAGGTAAAGAGGTGGTAAAGTTATTAACTACAAGCAAGAAGATGTTTCATTGCCAAAGTAGCAAATGTCAACAAGAAACAACTTTTTAAGTGAAACCTTGTTACTGAGACAGAAACGGGAGAATTTAAAAAAAAAAAAAAATTCTCCAGTTGTTATTTGTTATCAGGGGTTTATGTTTGCTGTCAACCCAGTGCAGAAAGACATAAGCCAGTTTAATTTCTTGTTAGTCTGTTTATCACAAGACATTCATCAACATTATCAGGTGTTGCATCTTTCTCTGTTATCGTTCAGCCTCACCCCAAACCTTCCAAAGTCCATTGTTCCACAGGAACACGGTAAACATATGATAGAAGGTGATCTGGGCAGATGAAGGCAATTATAAACTGTTTTTACTTAAATCCAAAATACCAGGTAAAACGTTAAACTAACACTACACAGACAGTACATCATTCCCACAGTGAAAGATGGTGGGGG